AATTATTCTGCCGTGCCACCTGGTGGCGTCACACTCCAGGCTATTATACCACTGTAGTGTTTGCTTAGTGGTTTCATGCAACCAGCATGTGTTGCTATTATTAAACTACATAGGGGATTTATAATCGTTTGGTGGCTTGAGATTGACAATTTGTAACAAGTGTCTTATGAATATGTTAAATGTGGCATCTATCAGCAAGAGGTTAATCTCAAACCACTGAGTGATTAAAAGTCTCCGGAACAAAATAGCCTGTGTAGTGATTTAATCTTGTGGTGCTGTTTAATTATAGCCTACATAGTAAGCCAAATACTTTTCACTTTGTGTCTGTATTAAAAGTTCATAAGTGGTTGTCATGTAGCTCTGTTAAAATGAGTATGACTAGTTGCACCCAGCTGCATTTTATTTATTGAAGCTGTGGGCGCATTTGTTTTTTTTTTGTTTTTTTTTAAAAAAATTTTTTCCCCCTCCCCATGATTTGTCATCGTGAGATATTCTTCTCTGGCAGCTGTGTAGTCTGCAAATAAAAGTGCTTACGTTGCTGTCTTTAGATAACTCTGAGACCACTAGCACTCAATCCTGCACTCTTGGCTGGTGCCTTGATTTTCAGCAGTTGTTTGATTTTCCCTAAATCTGTCATCCTGTCCTTTTGCTCCAGCATATTTGTTTTTCTTTTTACATATCTTGTTGTTTCACTGAATTGCCTTGTGCCGCTAAGTATGCCTGTTTTCATTTGCTAAATTTACCATGCCTCTTTGCAAACAGGCTAGTGATTTCTTTCTTTTCTCTTTTATTATCTGTGATTTGGGGTAATTGTAAGGTGTGTGTGATGGCCTTGAATAATGACTACTGAGTGGCTAGTGAAAATTGCATACATTGTCAATATCTAGTAGCTATACATGCTGTATGACAGTTCTGGGTAGATCCTCAGGAATAAGGAGGGCTGTGCACTAAATCTACAGTTTTTTACACCCAATTTGTTTTATTGTGTTTTCCATTAAAAAAGCAGTGTGGGTTGTAAAAAAAAAACAACCCATAAAACAATAATACTCACCTAGGTGATTGCAGCATTGATCCGATGCTGCATCTGTCCCCTGTCACGTCTAAGAATGAGAACTGAGCAATCAAAGACTACTGACCACTCAGTTCTCAGGCTTCAGTGAGCAGAGATTCGGTGACTGTCAGCGGCTCTTTGCTCTGCCCCTCCAGAGCTCATTGGAGTACCAGGCTGTGAAAGGGGCAGGAGCAGCTGCCTTGGCATGCTGAGAGGCTGAGATTAGCTGCAGAGCCAGGAACCCAGGTGTATCCCGACATTAAAGTCGGGATCCCTCCAGAACCTGGACGGCTGAGTGACATCAGCCAACAGCAGACTTTAGCCCGCTGTTAGCTGACTATGGGTCACAGAAGTGCAGAAATGAGTGTACTCCTCTGAGCCTACAGGAGAAATAAATATGGCCAAAAAGCTTTGGTCTTCTTCTTTTAAAATCAATGAAAGCTCCTGCTGACTGTTGATCCCTGCACTGACCTCATTATTTATTAGCCCCCATGCACACAGGGTGTTGGCTAACCTCTCTTAAAAGCCTTTCCTCTTGTCATCAAATATTTTTTCAGTAAAAATGCAGCTGTGTGTAAACGCATTTAGATGTGCCAAGAGCTTGGGAGTTAATTCATTTAATTGGGCAGAATTGTGGCTATTGAAATGAATTATTTGATGTGCCTAGTGTTAATGCACTTTTAGATGAATTTACACGTGTCAAGCATTTTCTTTTTGCCAAGATGCAGCTACTCCTGGATGATCTGGCAGTGGGGATTTTTCTGCCTCTTATTGTCACAGCCTCTAAACTCTTCTAAACCCCTATGTGTGCGAGGCTAACATGGTGGGGCATTTAGAGGCAGAAAGAAAATGCCAATGCCAAAATAAGGGTTTATTATTTATTACAGGAATTTATATAGCACCAACAATTTACGCACTGCTTTACATACTGTACTGATCAATCTGTTCTGTCAAGAATACAATCTTGAGTACAAGAATACAATACAAGTTTATAATCTCTAAGGTCCCGGTCTCGCATACATACATACACAAACATACTAGGGCCAATTTAGACCAGAGCTAATTAACCTTTTTTGAAATGATCATCTCCTGAATTCTGTTTTACTTAGTTTATCCCTCAGTATTGCCACAGCTGCTTTACAAAGAAATGTTAAAATATATCACTAAAATCTATAAGGCTTTGCTATGTTAATATTATTTCAAATGTAACAATCAGTTCTAAATCTGCAGGTTTTATTAACCGCTTTCCCGCAGCGTTATAGCAAAAGTACTGCTACAGGGTGGCAGGGCTGTGCAAAATCAAGTATATATACGTTGCATATACATATTTGCCTTTCCGGGTAGGGGCGTGTGTGCCGCCCTACCCGCTCCGCTATTGTGATTCCCAGCCGGCACTCGGGTAAAGCTGACGGGAGAGAGCTGTGTGTTAACAACACAGGTCTCTCCCTTGACAGCATGGACATGCTGTTTTTGTATCTCTCTGCACAGCACAGCAGAGAGATACAAAACAGCATGTCTCTCTAGTAAAACACTGCACACTGTAAAACACACACAGCACACAGTTAACCCTGTGATCACCCTAGATGTTATCCCCTTCCTGCCCAGTGTCATCAGTACAGTGTCAGTGCTTTTTTATTAACACTGATTACTGTATTGGTGTCACTGGGGATGTCAGTGGCAGTTAGTTCCCACCCAGTGTCAGGATGCTCGCCGCAGTCCCACTATAACTTGCTGATCGCCGCCATTACTAATATAAAAAAAAAAAAAAAAACATTCCAGTATTTAAGCCGTCATTTGTAGATGCTACAACTTTCACGTAAAACAATTCATTTACACGTATTTGGATTTTTTTTTTTTAGCAAAGACATGTAGCAGAATACATTTTGACCTAAATTTATGAAGAAATTAGATTTTTTTTGTTTTATAGCAAAAGTCAAAAATATATTTTATTTTTTTTTCAAAATTGTCTGTCTTTTGTTTATAGCGCAAAAACTAAAAACACACCAGTGATCAAATACCACCGAAAGAAAGCTCCATTTGTGGGGAAAAAAAGGACATAAATTTCATTTATGTACAGCGTTGCATGACTGCACAATTGTCAGTTAAAATAACGCAGCACTGCATCACAAAAAATGGTCTGGTCAGGAAGGGGGGTAAATCCTCTGGAGGGCAAGTGGTTACAGTAGTACATGCCATGAAGGCCCTTGTTAAATAGTGACTAGATTCTATCACTGTCCCTCAGTTGTGCATCTGTGTTTTCACCCCGTCACCTAAGCTTTCAGTGGCCAATTAAATTGGCTGTTTTAACACATATTAAAAAGGCATGGTCCACTGTCAGTAAAATCTGCCTGAGGAATGCCATGCAGCCATCACTGGAGTACATACCTGTAGACAGAACAAGGCTGCAAGTGATCAGCAGTACTGAAATGCAACAAAGAATGAAAGAAAGGTGACAAGCAAAAGTATTAGGGTTACTAAACCCACAACCGTAAAAATCGACCTATATATGCAATAAAGCATGCTTGTTATACTCACTGTGGAACCTAAGGGGTTAATCCTCTGCATTGTGTAAAAAGGCCATTTGTTCCTGATTGCTCTGTTCCTCCCCTTGTTTAAGCAACCAGCTCTTATCTCCTGATGAGACAGACTGAACTGAACTGTGGGCATTTTTCACATACTCAGTTTGGTGTGTATTGCTAGAGTGGTTTTTTGTTTTTTTTTTTTTTTTTTCTTGGGAGAGTGCTTGTAATCAGCACAGGGCCAATCAGCACTGGTCAAACAGTATCTAGGTTTTTTATCCTCCTAGAGCAGAAAGAAAACTCCTCCTACAAGCTTTAGCTAGTGCTTGGCTGAACACTGATAGATCACAAGACTGCTCTAACGTCTTATGAGAAAAGGTATTTAGCAGTTTATATTTACTAAAATAATTACTTTCATGTTCTGTGTATAGTGGGAGACCAGTATAGTGAATGCAGGGTCCTGGGTTTAGTAACACTTCAAACAAAAATGGCAGTTATTTATAATTTACATTGGTTTAGCAAAAGTAAATGTAATTTAATTAAAGTTTAAATCTATTCAAATATATAGATGACACATGTTGCCCATTTCCTGCTGCAACTCGGGGTCATCTGAATCTTGTTTACTGCAGCTGTGCAGTTATGTGAAAGTCTTGGAGCTCCCAACCACACCACCCTGTTTTATTTTCAAAAATGTCAGTGACTGTCACTTATTAACATTGTGCAAGTGTGTATTTTTATGATGAATACTGTGCAGGATTGTATTTTTTACATTTATTTGCACTATGCTTATATGCTCGTGTTGTCCTCCTATCTTTTATAATGCTTTCTGAAAGGTTTTAATGGTAACATAGTGAACTTGCATCTTGCACAAAAGACTGCCTTAAAAACTGCCACTCTACCATGAACTTTCTGTAGGTGCCCCAAAGTGTGGGTTTACTGAAATATTGGTGATGTTACTGTCAAATTGATTTTTAAAGGTGCACACACTAGGGCTTTCATTTTTATCTATGCTTCATTGCATATAAAGTTTCTGACCTCGAAGAACAGGATCCCTACGTGCACTGCAGGCGAGCGCGAGTGACTTATAAACTGGAGAAGAAAGGATACAGATAAGAAAGCTTGCACCTTTAAAACCAAAACCGCATTCGAAACCCAAGTTTCTGTTCCTTTAGGATCCTTCAATAAGGTATTTTGGTGGTGATATCTCTGTCTACGTCTGTGCCTGTGCATATTATTACAGGTAGCAGAGGTGCACAAAATAGTGTGCTGTGTAAAGCCGGCCATAGATGAGATTTTCTTTCATTTAACTACGGATTGCAGGAAAGAAAATCGCTCAATTTCCCCATCAACACAGTCTGTGTTTATGGGGTAATCCCTCCTGTATAGCTGTTGTGTTCTCCCAGCGGGGTCCCTGTCGGGAGAACACAATGATTAATGCTAGCAGCTTTAACTGCTGGCAACAATTACCGTATTTTTCGCTCCATAAGACGCACTCCCCCCCCCCCCCCCCCCCCCCCCCCCCCCCCCCACACACAAAAAAAAATGGGGGAAAATGTCTGTGCGTCTTATGTAGTGAATATGCAGCGGCCGGCCCAGTATTCCTTATGCCGCCATGTTAGAATACCGGGCCAGCTGCTCGGCTCTATTGTGCAGAAGAACCCGCTCCTCTGTCCTAGTCCTACCTGTTCCTCGCTCCTGCTTCCATAGGCCGTCTTCTCTCCCTGGCGCCAGCATCTTCAGTGTGGGCACCCGGCTGTGACAACTTGCGGCTTCACAGCCGGGTTCCCACTGTGCATGTGCGATAAGCGCTGCGCTTTGTGAATGGCCCCGTAGTCTTGTGGGACCTGTCACATGTCCCACAAGACTACAGGGAGGGAGGGGGGGAGGACAACTCCACGGAAAGTGAGTGCGGGTACCTGTCAAATGCGGGTACCGCAGTCTCTGATCATTTCCTGTAGTATGTCTGCAGTCTCTGGTCAAATGACCAGTACAGGAGATGACCAGAGACTGCGGACATAGTACAGGAGATGACCAGAGACTGCGGACACAGTACAGGAGATGACCAGAGACTGCGGACACAGTACAGGAGATGACCAGAGACTGCGGACACAGTACAGGAGATGACCAGAGAATGCGGACACAGTACAGGAGATGACCAGAGACTGCGGACACAGTACCAGGACTGCGGACATAGTACCAGAGATGACCAGAGACTGCGGACACAGTACAGGAGATGACCAGAGACTGCGGACATAGTACAGGAGATGACCAGACTGACTGCGGACATAGTACAGGAGATGACCAGAGACTGCGGACATAGTACTGCGGACTGCGGACATAGTACAGGAGCTGACCAGAGACTGCGGACATAGTACAGGAGATGACCAGAGACTGGACATAGTACAGGAGCTGACCAGAGACTGCGGACATAGTACAGGAGATGACCAGAGACTGCGGACATAGTACAGTACAGGAGCGGATAGTACAGGAGATGACTGCGCGACATAGTACAGGAGATGACCAGAGACTGCGGACATAGTACAGGAGATGACCAGAGACTGCGGACATAGTACAGGAGATGACCAGAGACTGCGGACATAGTACAGGAGATGACCAGAGACTGCGGACATAGTACAGGAGATGACCAGAGACTGCGGACATAGTACAGGAGATGACCAGAGACTGCGGACATAGTACAGGAGATGACCAGAGACTGCGGACATAGTACTACAGGAGATGACCAGAGACATGTACGGACATAGTACAGTAGATGACCAGAGACAGACATGGAGATGACCATAGTACAGGAGATGACCAGAGACAAGATGACCAGAGACTCCTAGTACAGTAGAAGACCACAGACTGCGGACATAGTACAGCCTGTAGTGTCTGCAGTCTCTGGTCATCTCCTGTACTGTGTCTGCAGTCTCTGGTCATCTCCTGTACTGTGTGTCTGCAGTCTCTGGTCATCTCCTGTACTGTGTCTGCAGTCTCTGGTCATCTCCTGTACTGTGTCTGCAGTCTCTGGTCATCTCCTGTACTGTGTCTGCAGTCTGTGTACTGTGCTGCAGTCATCTCCTGTACTGTGTCTGCAGTCTCTGGTCATCTCCTGTACTGTGTCTGCAGTCTCATCTCCTGTACTGTGTCTGCAGTCTCTGGTCATCTCCTGTACTGTGTCTGCAGTCTCTGGTCATCTCCTGTACTGTGTCTGCAGTCTCTGGTCATCTCCTGTACTGTGTCTGCAGTCTCTGGTCATCTCCTGTACTGTGTCTGCAGTCTCTGGTCATCTCCTGTACTGTGTCTGCAGTCTCTGGTCATCTCCTGTACTGTGTCTGCAGTCTCTGGTCATCTGTGTCCGCAGTCTCTGGTCACTGTGTCTGCAGTCTCTGGTCATCTCCTGTACTGTGTCCGCAGTCTCTGGTCATCTCCTGTACTGTGTCCGCATCTCTGGTCATCTCCTGTACTGTGTCCGCAGTCTCTGGTCATCTCCTGTACTGTGTCCGCAGTCTCTGGTCATCTTCTGTACTGGTCATCTCTTCATCTCCTGTACTGTGTCCGCAGTCTCTGTCATCTCCTGTTCTGTGTACGCTGTATTCTCTGGTCATTTTCAGAACTATGTCTGCAGTCCATTGGTTCAGAATTTTTGTTTTTCTTGTTTTTCAGAATTTTTGTTTTTTCTCCTCTAAAATCTAGGTGCGTCTTATGGAGTGCAAAATACGGTACATAAAAAAATCCGACAGGCTGGTTGTACTCAAGTCATACAACAATCGATTTGGGTACAATCAGCCTGCCTATAGTTCACATCTCATCCCATTCCTGCTGAACTGGCTGAGATTCAAACCATCTATGGCCTGCCTAACAGAATACCAATAATCTCACCTGTGAGTCTAACTAGTACTGAAACACATGACTTTTGGGTAGTTTCTGATGACCAGAGCTAAGCACTAATGATCTATATCTAGTTGGAAAAATGTTTTAAATAGCATGGTAGCATTTAGATGAATGGAAACCAAACTAAGAGAGGCTGTTCCAGTTTGCCATACAATCCTTTTCTAATTATAGAATATTATGAATCATACTGTAATGGATTAAACATCTGCTGGGGTCAGATTAAGTGGAAAAAAAGAATGTATAGGCAGCAGTATGCTAATGTGTCCAAACACGTGAGTCAGTCACACTGCACAGGAAATAAGCATGTCATCAGTCCAGAATAGCTACGAAGCATGGGAACAAACTCTGGTTTAGGGAATTCACTATAGTTTACTTTTAATAATTATTCTTTATCTGTTTACTTTTCGTTAAAGTGATATTAAAGCTTTAACTAAATTTAGCAAATTCTAGTGCTGAGACTGCTGCTTCCTCATGTATGAAATTTGTCCTCCCCTTGATTCACCCAGTCCCATCAGCTCTGGCACCACTTTCCAGTTTCAGGGTATTTCCTTTCCCTTGCAGGGTCCTCCCGTGGAGCCACTCTTGCTGTGCACTCCCAGCCATAACTAGAGCTGTTGCTGTGTGTGCCAACTCAGGCACACAGCCCTGTAGAGAATATATTAGCATTAAAAACTTTGAGAATTTAATACTACTTTAGGGATGTTGTTTTTAAACTTCTTCCACCAGAAATATTTAATAGACCATCCTAATAGTTAATCTGCACAAAATATCTTTTTTCCTTAAGATTAAAGTAGAACTCCAGTCAAAATTTAATGAACAATCTATTCACATAAAATAAAAACATATTTTTTATTTTGCAATATGCAACTTTAATACGGAACTGTCCCTGCAGGACTTTTTTGATTGAATGACAGCCAGCATCATTTCGATCCACTGCGACAACACCATGTCCTATCACACAGACCACTCGGTGGTGCCTCACGGTGTAATCATGACGTTTCAGGCTACATTCACGCTAAGCTGAGCAATTTCAAGCATTTTTGAGCATTTTTTTTTTTTTTAGCAGATTTGCAAATACTATAGGTGTTCTTTTCAGGCATTTTTCATTTAGGCATTTATTCTGTGGCCAAAAGAAACCTGTATAGATCTGTACTAGGCACATACAACAGGAAAACCAGAATTAAGCACATGGCTGCTGTAGAAAGAAGTTCTGTACCTTTCTCCTTGATCTGGGGAGCAATGTAGCTGCTTCACTGGGGCAGCAGGTTTCATCCCACTTCCTCCCAGGCTCTGTTGGTTTTTGAACAAACTAAAAAAATCCCAGCGCCAATCAAAGAAAGTATACAATTATGCAGCTGTGCACCAATGAAAACCACCAATAATAAATAACACAAAAAACAGCGCAAAAATTAAATAAATAAAAATAATCACAAATAAATGTCCGTGCAAAAATATATATATAATATTTCAAACATAAGTACTTATTTTCCCAAAAGGATTTTCAAAACAATGTTCCAAAATGTGCTTCCACCTAATCACCACGTGAAAAATAATATTGACCGCACTCATCAGATGGAGGTGAGTAATAAGCCTCATAGGATATAAGGGATCCTATAGCCCCTCAGGAGGAACTCAAATCGCCTTCTTAACCCTGCTTAGATACAGCAATCGACTCCACTCTACTTCTCCATGGAATCCTCAATAGTGTGCAAGGAAAGAAAGGCTACATAGTGTAATACTGCCACTCAATACCATATAAATCAATAGAATAAGGACACTCAGATGTTTCAATAAAATAACAGGCCTTGTTTAATAGCCTCAAAGGCTTCAAAGGAACAAGTTTCCAAATTGTAAATATAGGGATCTCACGCTTTAAGGATCACTGTAGAGGATGACCAGCTTTCCACCTCAAAAATGGCTGCTTGAACCGCAAAAGTCGGCGTGCGTTCCAAATACCGGAAGTGACGTAGGCCAAGAAGACGGCAGACCGGAAGTGCATCAACGCGTTTCACACCACACACAGGGTGGTTTTTGGCCGGCTCTTATAATGGGGATCCCTGGGATCATAAATGCAGGGGTGGCCACAGATGAAATCAATGAATATTTCAGCTTCCAGAAGCAAGCTCTCCTCCATTTTGATAACAAAATGTGTGTTTATAAGCTGTGGATTGATGCTAGAAAGGGGGGGGGAGCTACTGTTTGAGTTGAAAATGCCTGAAAAAATGCTTGAAAAAAAATGCTCATTTGTTGCTGTTCAGGGGGTTTTCCATTTACGTTTATGGCAGCAAAAATGCTAAAATCTGCCTGAGAAGTAGTACATGTACTTTTTTGAGTGACAGGCAGTTTGCTATAGGTGACAAAACGCTCAAATGTGAACAGGAGCCATTGAAATAAATGGGATTTTCCTTGTTGAGTGTTTCTGAACATTGAGCTTCAAGCTGAAAAACACTCAAGTGTGAACCGGGGTCTCTGTTTTACTGTAGGTGGAGAAACAAGAGCTTGCATTTCAGAGCCACAGCCTGCATCTGTTTTCAGATCTTGCTCCATCTATTTTCCTCAAGCTGAGAATCCTGAATTTATACTTGCAAATTCTACAATCCCACAACATCAAATAACCCTGGAGCTTCCCCTTTACATTTTTCACTTGGTGGGAATTAAAAATTCCAAGCCACCTTGCATACAGACCTTCGCAAATGCTTTTAACAGATCAGATGCAAAAATGGTGACTTTCCCAAACCTTTGGTTCCTTGGCCAGCCCATGTTCACATTCTCTTTCTTTACTCTCAGCATCCAAGGTTCTCAAGTGCTCTGCCACCTACAGTTGCGGAGGTCTGAAACGGATATTTTCATACCTAATGTTTCTAGCCTCATTACCTTGATCGTAGGAGCAATGAAAGACCTCAAAAATTGATTCTCTGCATTGTTTGTGTCCCCATTCAAATAAGTACAACTCTGACTTTGCGGTGCCACACCGATTTGGAAAAAAGTTCCTGTGCCATATTTTTTTTTTTGCAATTTCAGGTGCGACTTGCACAGATGTCAGCCAAGTTGCACCTGAAGTCGCGCTGACATGTGGCTTTGAAATCGTGAAACGTCAGGTGAAGTCGCATTATTTAAAAGTCGGATTCAGGGTGAACTGACAGTAAAAGTCCCCTTTTTGTTATTTTTGCTGCCTGTTTCCTATTGTAGGATTTCCAATCAATTTCCGTCATAAAGACGCAACAGGGAATCTGAAAATAAAAATCTTTTCAAAATCAACAGAATTCCCATCTTAGAAAAATATTATAGGAACAGTTTTTTTTTTTTTTGGAGGATTTTCCCTCACTTTTTGCTCAGATGACAATTCAACATTTGAGTATCCCATCATGTCACTGGGTCAAATAGGGGTAATGAATCTCCCCAGCAGGGGCACAGCAATAAAAACTTTACAGGGGTTGTGTGAACCGCGGGTCTCTGTTTTACTGTAGGTGAAGAAACAAGAGCTTACATTTCAGTGCCACAATCTGCATCTGTTTTCAGATCTTGCTCCATCTACTATCCTCAATCTGAGAAGCCTGAATTTATACCTGCAAATTCTACAATCCCGCAACATCAAATATCACTGGAACTTCCCCTTTACATTTTTCACTTAAAAATTAAAAATTCCAAGCCACCTTGCATATGGACCTTCACAAATGCTTTTAACAGATAAGGTGCAAAAATGGTGACTTTTTCACAAACCTTTGGTTCCTTGGCCAGCCCATGTTCACATTCTCTTTCTTTACTCTCAGCATCCAA